CTATATTCTTCAATGCATATTTTAAAAACAAATTTAAAGTACGTATTACCGGTGTACTGAAAATTATCGTACATTTGACTTTAATTTGATTTAAACTGCACTATTATATTTTATATACTTCAAGTACGATGTCTGTTACCGAAAGAACAAGGACATAGATCACTGTTCAGAATTCTGTGCATTATAACGACGTTAGTGTCTCTTTTCTTTCCCAAACAGCGCAGCGTTCTTATTCTGTACGCCATTTCCAAATATGCAGTCGATCTCAGAAATCCCTTTCTGAGAGGTGATGAAAGATAAAGAATGGGGCAACTTTTGCTTCTCGAAACATAGCTAAATGTCCAAGCTCTTAATTCTTCCGAAATCTGGGATGTATGGAAGATGGTCAAGAACAAGGGTTCACAGCGGAGTCGATATTGACTCGCTCGGAGTTGATGAATTTTAAAGGGGGTCAATGGCGAGCGACTGGGGTCGGCTGGGGTCAATAGGCGACATGCACCTGCAATTGATTAAAAAAATAATTCATAAAATTGGTAGTTAATTGTTGATAAATATAAAGCCAATCGTACAAAGTCAAGTCCTATTCAAAACCCAAGGGTACTTTAAGTTTTCGAAATTAAGTCATCCTAAAGAAATATTCCAAAATAAAATTTGTCACCGAAACCAAAATTTCTCACTTTTCTCTCTTACCTAATAAAAGTATATTTTACTCAAGTCGATAATTTACTGCGGGAAACAATAAAAAGGTTAAATTTTTTTAACGAAGCACGTTATGTATTAAGTTAAGCAATTTTATGCGAAATGTTAAAAAATATCGCATTAATATATCACGTGGAGCTATCGCGTTAATTATACTCGAGCTTTTGTACAATTAAAATATTTAATTTTGTGTTTGAAAACTGGTATGGTTCCTGCGTGCCTTTGTGGCGTAATCGGAAGCCACTCGACGCGTTTTCGAGAGGTCCAGGTTTAGAATCTCGACGATGGCATGGCACATTTTTCACGCCTCGTGCTTGGAAAAAAAACCTGATGACTCTACACTTGTTTACATTTTCAAATTAATAATAACATAAAAAATAATAAAACATCTAATAAACCATTTTTGTTTTCGAAAGTTTCGTTCATTTTCTTGGTTTAATTGTTATTTTTTCAATTAATTATGTGTTATTTATTATATTAGAATATTTTATTTGTATTAGAATTTGTTTCAGTTATTTATTTGTATTAGAATTTGTTTTAGTTATTTATTTGTATTAGAATTTGTTTTAGTTATTTATTTGTATTAGAATTTGTTTCAGTTATTTATTTGTATTAGAATTTGTTTTAGTTATTTATTTGTATTAGAATTTGTTTCAGTTATTTATTTGTATTAGAATTTTTCTCTATGCTGTATTGTACAGAAATGGAAGAAATTCATATGGGTCGAATGGTAAATGGTGGAGAAAAAGAAAAGGAGTCTTTGAAAAGTGGTTGATGCAAACTACAGAGACGCTTCCATAGAATCAGAGTAGTGTTGCCAATGCATGAACTTTCAGAACAACCCTTGTAATAAAGATCTAAAATCAAGTTTTATGTCTGCAAAATGGTAAAACACTCATTTACAAAGAAAGAGAGTAGTATGAAACGAATTCCCATAGAAAGAAAAGGTTAAAAGGAGAAATAGAGAAGATACATTTTTACTCGTTATTTCTGGATATTTTCTTGTGAGATTAATGGTGACACTTAAGATTCTATAAGTAAGGAAATATTATATATACCTTTAAACACAGCTTTGAAACATAAAACGTATCGTTTCTTTTGAATTTGTGCACATATTCTATTATTATATAGTTAATAAATCTGAAATTTATACTGTTTTGAATACTGTTTAATACTGTTTTATCCTGTTCTGAATACTATTTTATACTGTTCTTTATACTGGTTTATACAGTTCTTGTCTGTTCTGTTTTTTCTGAATTTTATACTGTGGCACTCTGATGCTTACTTTCATTCTGCAGGCTGAGAGTTAATGCATTAAATATTTTGAACAAAGTTTAAGAAGTGTGACACTAAACGTTCATTTTTTATATTTTGTTTAACAATTCTCGTATTTTTTCATCAACATGATACAAAATATTATAATTTCAAATTCAGTGAAAATAGCTTTTTTTTTTCCCAAGAACTCATTTAAATTTTTCTTCACCTGAAAAGTTGAAATTTCGGTTCTGAAGGCATAATGATTGTGCGACTAACCACAGTGGTGTAAGCTGCATGCAAAAATTAAACGAAGCTTTATCATAGATGCAAAAGTCACAATAACAGATCACAGCATATGGATTAAAGTTCTAGCCATTGATGCAGTAAACCACGAAACAGTACTTTGACAAGCTCTTCCTGTTACAAACTGACTATAATTTAGCCATATTAATGCATTAAATTCGAAACTATACAACATTTGTTACAATTACAGATATTCGTTAAAATGCAAAACATAAGGCATTCGTTTTTCTTATTAATTTTTTTTTTACTTTAAAGTGATTCAATTGAAACATTTCTCAGATTTATTTTCATACGAATGAAAATAAAACACTGAAAGATACTTACCATTATTTTAAAAATTTGACAAGGAAAATTTAACATTTGATCTTACAAGCACAAAAGAACACATTGATGCCATTTCATAAATACTTAAAATATTTTCTTTGGCAAAAGAATGAAAGACAAGAAAATTCTTCCAAGTATTACATATTATTATAATGTTCTACATTCTGTCTTCCTCGCTTACTATACTAGAATTTTTTTCTCAACTTCCTTTAAAGCAAAAATAATAATATTAATAAATATAATAATAATAATAAATAGTATAATTAAATTTTAAAATTTCCGAAACATTAATAATTTTCGTATTCATGTAGTTTTATATAAAACTTAAAATTCAAAATTTAATTATGTTTTCCAAGATTAAGAAAAGCTTCGAAGAAGGTTAATTTTAGTTATATATATTTGGTCCTTTAAAATTTTCGACTGCTTCATCTCTTTTCTATTGCTAACACATATATTTGTTTTCGTAACTTTGAAAGTAAGTAGAAACGTTTTACCTGCTAAAGCATGTATTAGATCACATTTTATTTCCTAAAACTAGAAATAATTATCTGCAATAAAAAAATTATACATTTTGCCATTGATGCTTCTTCATACTTATGTAGAATAATATTTTTATATTGTTAACAGAAAATTAAATAAACCTTTGACATTCCAACTATCAGAAAATATAATTTAGTAATATTTCCATTATGTAAACTTCAGAAGTCCTATAAATAAATTACTATTTTCAACATCCTAAAGAAAAGAATTGTTCTTCTGGAAAAGAAACCCGATTCATTCTGAACGTATAGGTACAGGCTTATTGCTAAATTAATAATGAAACTTTCTGCATTTTCTTATCTGAAAAATCTATTGCGGTCTAAAAAATGCTGAAAATTTCAACAAATTTTAATAGTTAATGTAACAGTTAGATTAGTTTGAATTTATTATTTAAAAGTACAAGTCTTATGCTTAAAAATTATAACAATACAAATGTTGACTTTTTAGAAATTAATATTATAAAATCTTCTGAATTTTTCAAAATTAAAATTCCTTTAAAACACATAAATGAATAACACATTGCATGCTTGAAAAATACATAATTGTATCATTTAGATTTATTTAATTTTTTCAGTAAGAAAATGCATTAAATTTATTTGCATTCAAAAATGTTCTTGTTGCAGTTTCGAAGAAAATGTTTTCAGTGTAAATATAGTTATCATAAGTTTCTCCACAAAACTTTTAACATTTTAACTAATTTTTTGTCTGAAGGTTATTTTCAAAGAGCTTTTTTGTTTGTTTGTTTTATTTCACAGTCTAAATTTTTCGGGCTTACTTATTAACGTTAAATACAGATTTAATTGATATTACATGTAGATTTATAATTAATTTCATTCAAAATTCATGTAGACATCATTCTTTTTACTTCTAAAAAGTTGGCAACCTGTGATGTAGGCAAATAATAAACTAGCTTGCAGTCTACTGATATGTATTTAGCATTTAATGAAATAAAAATTAACTAGCATACATAATCAAACTTTACACTGAAATTTGAAATGGAAGTTCTGTTTTTATAATTCTGTTTATAATTGCAACGTTCTAACTGAATGAAATCATCTTTTATTTAAAATTTTTATGCTTTTAAATCACAGAATTATTCCCTACAACTCCTACCAAAGTAGAAATCACGATCTTATATGCATATTATCTTTAAAGACAACTAAAAATTTATGCTAAAATTAAAAGTGTGGTTTTCTAACATCATTTCATATTTTAGTTATGAACTATGTGAAAATTCCTAGAGCAAGTGCAGGTTTATGTGTCAGGATTACGATTATGTATTTAAGGATCTTTCTATGTTTAGAAGTACTCAGCCTTAGATAAAGAAGGTGTTATTAACTTAAACATGAGACTGTTAATAACTGACATTAAAACATACAAAGCTGCTAAATTCTTTGATAAAATACAAAGAGTTTGAACAATATATGACACAGAATGCAGAAACTCATTTAAGATTACCAGAAAATCTGAAATTTTCATCAAATAATTCCCATATTGCTTCGAATTAAAGCCGCGACAATATTTTAAAACTGAATAATTGGGGAGGGAGAATAATAAACAGCCTTCTTCGAACTTAAACCCAGGAGGATTTTAAAATTCGAAAAATTGAAAAATAATAAAAAAGAACTGAAAGCATTCAGATTTTATGTTACGCTCAAAAGGGAGTTTATATGTCACCTTTATTGATTTAATATGATGTTCTTCGCACTTAAAATACATAAAATTCAATTCAACAGCAAAACAGCATATCTTTAGAATTTTCGATACACAGTTTCTCCCGCTGGAAATAATTTTTTTTTCCCCTGTACAGTGTTGCCATTGCTCACTTTGAAATTGCTGAATTTGTTAGTCAAAAATTCGTTAACGTTTTACAAAATATGAAATATATACTAAAACAAATTCGAAATTCAAAATTCGGGCTTCCAAGTGCACATTTTCAGTTGGAGGGCCACGTTATTCAAAATTTGATGGCTCTACGTACCGTCGTTTCTTCACAGAGCGAGAAACGTTCATGCATTCATGTAGATTCTTCATTATTTACTTTTTTCAAGTATAATACATGGCGATAATATTTGGTGGCAACAGTTTGAAAAGTAAATCGACGCCGTTTAAATGCCGTTCTGAAATTAATATCCCTTCTGGGCTAACGCTCTTTGGGCCAATAAAAATGTTTTTATAATACGTACCGAAAACTAAGGAACATTTATTTACTTAAATAGATTGTAATATAAATATAATAATTTACCTGATTTATTAAAAACCTTCTTCAGATATATAATTGTAAAATATTTATTCACTTTGAATTTGAGCTGAAGAGCTAATTTTACATCTTGAAAATCTAAAAAAAAGTGAGGTTTAATTCGAAGTAACTTGGTAATTATTTTTGTTGACTAGATAAATGTTGACAAATGTTTTACTACGAATGAAAACTTCCATGATAATTTTTAACTTCCGATAATTAATAATGAATTTCAGCATTCCTTACTATGATAGTAATTTCTGTGTTTTTCTAAACTATATACCGAACTAATAACTAAATCACAAATTGAAACGGCCAGCTTTGATTTTACAAAAACCTAATTTCATATTCCTTATATACCTAACGCTACAGTTTGGCTTGCATTTTACTTCCACGAGTATAAACCCTGATGAACAACACACAGTAGTTACGTAATATTGAATGCATTATAAATGATATTTTATTTTTTTAGGCAGTGTTTCCATGTTGGACATCAAATTATTATTTTGATGAGAAAGAATGAGACTTTCTGGGAACTCTCTTATACTATTTTCACAGTTTCATAGAGTCAGGTGTAATAAAATATCTCTCATTTTTACGCTTTTTGATTTGAAATAATCTTGAATATAATGCTGCTGTAGATTTAATAACATATTTAAAGCTACATTTTAAATAAATATTGGAAAGTACACCATTATTTCGCCGTAAATTTCTTCTTTCAATATTTGTTTTAATTTTCTGTCTTACTGCTATCAAATATTGATAGGAGTAAGATCTTAAATATTAAAATAACAAAAAAAATTTTGGATCAAAATATTTATAAAGCTGTTGCATAATTTCTACAGAACATAATTCATAAGGACGGAGAACAGGACGGAATTTAGAACATAATTTAAAATACCTGTAAGCCAAAAATAGTGAAATTTTAATTTTCTTAAAACACTGATTATTACTGAAAAGAATGTAATAAAACAGCAATCTCATAAAATCATTTGTATTTTATGGTTTTAGTACAACTACAATAGACACGTGCATTTTCGTTAAAAGCATATTTATACAAATAAAAAAAGGAAAAAAATCGTGTTTGTATAAATAATTGAAATTAACGTTACAGAATTAGCTGTGTTAATACTTAATGTCTGTTTCACAAAAACAAAATCATATGTTTCCATAATTAAACTAAGAAAATATCTTTAAGCTAAACATACCTCGAGATGAAGTAAATTCTAATCGTCCGCCCAACAACAGAAAAACTTCATATTATGGAAAGGATTCTTTTTATTCATAACTCTTAAAATTCCTTAATTTCTTTAATATCCTATACTTTATATTTTAATACGAAAGGAATTAATTAAAGCCTGAGATTACCTTTTTTCAGGAATATGTGTTAGCTGTTGCTGGCGCTCAAATTTGAAGTCAAATAAAAGAAATCATAATGTTTTTTAAATAAGAAATTGCAAATTACATTTCACAATTAAAAACTGACAATTTAAAATTTAATATTTCTTAACTAGAAAAAATTCGCTGTTACTAATATAGATTTTTAGAATGGCGATGCCATTTAAACGCAATCTATCACTGAGCTCCTAGAAAACCGCAGACTTTTCATGTAGAAATTTTAGGTGTATTTCTTTTTGGCTTGTTTTAGTTGCCGTCTTCGTTTAAGTATCATCTCATACAGAATTTCTAGTCCTTCTTCTAGGCCATCACCGATGATGGCACAGGCAGGTTGGACATGCCATAAATGTCCAGATCCTAACTCAATGCCTAATCCTAAAATTCTTTCAATTTCATGCGGATCTTTTGCACCTGGTAAGTCCTGTTTGTTGGCAAGCACAAGAATCGGCACACCTAAGTTTTCAGGAGCTCTTGCCATACGCACTAATTCCATTCTGGCTTCTTCAAGTCTTTCATCGTCAACACTATCCAGTACAAAAACAATACCGTCTGTACATCGCGTGTAAGACCTCCAGAGAGGGCGAAGTTTGTCCTGTCCACCCACATCCCATATTAGAAAACTGGTTCCTTTTGCCTTCCCCGTTGTGCCTTTAATTTTTTCGCAATTGAAGCCTATCGTAGGTACTGTATTTAAATACTGATCGAACTTAAGTCGATACAAGGCTGTTGTCTTACCTGCGGAATCCAGGCCTAACATTACAACATGCAGACTTTGGTTTGGAGGGAGACTTTCTAGCAAAGAAGCACCTTTGCCCACAGTGGAGCCCATGTTTTTAGGTTAAAGTTAGATTCACATGGATGACACTTCAGTGAAAGACGGGAAGAAACACAGCTTGCAAATTTTTATCACAGTGACTAATGAAATACACCCGGCTGTGATTCTTGGACACTTCACCTTTTGCATATGAGATTATAGTTGACGCAATGGCAGTCTAGCACTTGATATCACAAAAAATAAAGCTAGTCCAAATGCTGCTATAGGCTTAAATACGAAACTGATACAACACTTTACAAAATTAGTATTTCTTAAATATCACAATATACTGATGGGATAATAATCTTGAGATTCACAGCTTATAATTTTCTCATTCTTTGTCTAATCCTCAGATTTGCCTCAGATTTCTTCGGTAATTTAAAAAAGAACATTTTACCTTACATTTCTTGATTCAAGTGGTTGGTATAGAGACTTATACTTAGCTGATTGAATCACTGATACCTTTCGCGCAACATTTATTCTTGTCATAGCTACAAATCTCTGCTTAAATGCATTTTTAATTAACAGTCGATTAGAACCGAAGATGTCAAGTTAATCGTTGATGTCACACGTATGTACAACAGTTCTGTTAACTGTCGCCAAAAAGAGCTCAATGTCCTGAAACGAGGAGGGACAATAAGTTTTCAGGATGTTCAATCCTGAGTCAGAAGGAGACCGGATGCATCACTAAGAGGAACTCTTCAGATATTAAGCGGAGCGTTGCAGTCGTTGGCGGATGTATATTATTCCTCATGTTGCCAGAGCTCGATCTATTGACCTTCTTTTTTTTATTTAATTTTTTAACAGCAGTTTGCTTTATAATTACACATTGTTACGAAACAGTCAAAAACAACAGCCATGCAGAGCACAACTAATTTTAATTATCTTTTTTTTAACTCTTAATTAACCTCTTTCCTTAAAAATAGTTCCATCTCTTCCTGATTATTAAATTTTTACTGCAATCCATTTAGTCCTGTATGATTTTATTTTATTTTCCTAACTATTTGTCAACTAAGAGTCAAGGCTTTTAAAATATGCATTCTAAATGTCTTTAAACGCATTTAGATTGCAATATTGAAGCTAGTATGAATCTTTGAATTGAACGTAAGATTAATCTAAACGAAATGAATTACATAACACAGGCTCTAATACGCAGCGGATTTAGGCAACACAGTTTTCCACACCTCACACGATTATCAGAATGCATACGTTCGTATCAGTAAAATAAAAACTTACAATTCCAAATCCAGATTTACAAGGGTAACATCGCAGAAATCCGTGTTTATCATGAACATTCTCTCCTCCTCCGCAGACATCACTTTTCCCCCATATGTTCGGACATCACATCTCGTATATTTGCATAAAAATGGTTAAAATTAGTAATTATTACAATCATCTCATCTATTATTGGTGTGAAGAAATATTTCAAGCGAAGCGAATCCTAATAAAAGGCCTTAAACAGTTGGGAATCTATTCGGTGGGAGACTACGCGCGAAATTAGGCTTTTAAAAAATGCCAAAATATCGTCCGGGCAGAGGGAAAACATAGATTTGATCACCCCAGACATTGCTGGCTGCCGTGTCCCGAAAGGGTTGCTATAGAATGCATTCGAAAGTCGCCAACTCTAAGTCGCCAACGCTTCGAACATCTCTCTCACTTTCTTCAGATTCTCGCATTTTCTCTAATTTAAAGTTGTAACGCGGCAATTTAATGACATAAATTATATTTACTACCAATAAGAAAAAGATATTCTTAAACTCTATTGCACTGATGTTCTTCGAGAATTATACAATTGCTTGCCTAATTAATGGTATATTTAATGTTTTTATTCTGGCAAGCGAGAATGTATTACTATTCTGTCTTCCATTCGAAGGAACTTTATCAAAATCAGTAATATTTAATTTAATTGCTTTAAAAATTCGTCTAATATTTTACTATTGCAAATATTCAATTATATATAGGACAAAAAAAAAGGTATGTAAAATTTCGTATAATAATTAAATAAAAAAATCTTGGCAATGGTATTTTAATTTCGGCGCTTTCAAAATAATTCATTTTTTAATTATAAATAGCATTTAAAGAACCATGTGGAATACGAAGCTTTATAATTTAGACTTTGCCAGTAATATTATTCTATAATAATAATAATAATAACTTCTCTGAATTGCGTCATTTCTAGATCATTCCATTTTTCATAGCCTGCGCAGTGCTGATGACGTAATAATTAGAAACTGAAACTTTTAACTGAAGCCAAAACCTTTCTCTTCGTGTGCTTCCATATCGGATAACTACGCACTTTAGCTTCTGTCTGTGCAGTGCTTGTACCATGTAAGATAAAAAATAATGTAATAATTGCAAGTAAAAGACGAAGCAGCGTTGATACATAATAGCTATGTAAGATAGATCGTGTAATAGCTATTGAAGAGAAAGCATTCTGATTGCGTAGTATGTTAATATGTTGAGTTCGTAATATCTAGGAAACTTGGCAGTCGAGGTAGTTTTAATTCCATTTTTATTTATAGTTGACATATGTGGCCACTTGGCAATATGTGGCCACTTTTCAATATTATTGTGATAGGAAGCACGCCAGCGAAATTGCGTACAAGCACTGCACAGACAGAAGCTAAAGGTTAAGTGCTTAAGTGAAGCTTAAGTGCGTAGTTATCCGATATGGAAGCACACGAAGAGAAAGGTTTTGGTTTCATTTAAAAGCTTCAGTTCCCAATTATTACGTCATCAACGATGCAAAATGGAATGATCTAGAAATGACGTAATTCAGAGAAATTATTACGATTTTTAGAATATATATATAGAGAGAGAGGGGGAATTAAAGTTTTACCGTTAGTTTAAATTATAATTTTGATTTACATATTTTTATCTTACAGATATATATTGATACATGTATATATAGAAATTCAGTCATAAAATTTTTAAGAAATTTGAAATGTTTAATGATCATTCAGACAGTTTACATTTAAGAACTGTGTTTTCTCAGTTCTGCGTTTTCCCAGTTCACATTTTTTCGATAAATTCTTTTACTTGAAGTCCTAAAGCTTATACGGATATGAACTAAATTGTTTAATATTTTCACTGCTTGTTTGAAATTATATACTTAATAGAAACAAGGATGGGTTTTACAAAATAGTGAAAAGAAAAATTCTTGGAAGTGAAAATGTGATTAAGATCATATTTTTTATGAATTTTTACATAAAAATGTGCTTTTTATTTTTTTCTCTCAGAAACTAAATTATTAATTGCAAAATCAACTTTTAAAGGTATTAAAAAAATTTTTAAAAACACAATAAAAATATTTGGGTCAAAAACAATGAAAACTGTACGAAAAGAAATATATTTCGATTGTTAAATTTTTCTTCAAAGAATTTAAATTTAAAAAAAATTACTGGCAATTTATTTTTCAGCTTCAAATCATTTTATTTTATAAATGACAAATCATTTAATTATATCCATAAAAAGTAGACAAATGTCCTTAAATAAAAGCACCTTTCAAAAGATATAAAGTCCCCTCAACTGTTACTAGGCCTAACGAAGCCGCCATTTGTTTACATCTGAAACTCGTAATAGAACAGTGAATTAAGTCAGCTGGTATCTTAATGTCAGTGTCTTGTTCTGATGTTGTATTAATTTCCTTGTAGAGTTTGATTTTTTTAGGGGGGGGAGCATAAACTAGTAGCAGACTACTAACAGATGTTAAATGAATTGCCGCTGTTTCTGAAATTAACTACAGAGTCTTGCAAAAGTTCAAAACAAACCATTTTATGTAAACCAAAACTTGAATATAAAATTCACTTCTTATGCTCACATAATCAGCCAAAACTTGTACTGAAAACAGGAACAGGGAAAAGTGGGCGGAGCTAGTCGAACAAATGCAAGCTAGTCAAGACTACAGCAGTTTAACTCTAATTCAATGCATGCGATCTGTTTCGGACAGGAAATTCTCGCCATTCACTAGAAATTTTTGCTGAAGCTTCTTACCTTCTGTTAAGTAGTTTTTCTCCTTCTATTTAGCTTCTCTTTCTGACAGCAGTGTACGAAGAAGCAAAGAGTAGTAGGTGTTCTATTAGTAAAGTAGATGTTCTATTAGTTTCCTTATAGAGTTTCACTTGAGCATAAACTAACATAAAACTCCTAACACTTAAGCGAATTATCGCTGTGTCTGAAATTAACTACAAAGTCTAGAAAAAGTTTAAAACAAACCCTTTCATTTAAACCAGAACTTGAACATATAATGCACGTCTCTGCTCACATAATCAGCCACCGCTTGTGGCGGTGCAACATAAAATAATAGAGACAGTGAAAAGTGAACAGAAAACCAGAACTTTTCCTTAAAATAACAGTCAAATTCAAAATTCATAACGCAAGCTAGTAGTCAAGACTACACAATTTGCTCTAAGTTGTCTTAAAAATTCATCCGGTGTAGCAGTTTAAATAACGGCAGCTATAACACAAAACCGAACAGTTACTATCTTATCATAGCTGGCGAGACTAAATAACGTGGCCTTGAGAAGCAGAAACACGCTCTGTCTTACATTCCAAACACTTCAGCTTAAATACTCTCTAACTCATATGCATTTCTGGTGAGGAAACGGAATGGAGAAGTAACAGCAAAGGCTAAAATTATAAATGACTGGCTAATTCAAAATAATAGTAACTCTACACACTTTTCGGTTTATATTTGACCAATGTACATGTTTACATCACATATTCCTGTTCAACTCAGGATGTTATTTTATGATCAAGAATAAAGTTTTATCCCGTATTTCCCCATACTGATATTAATACAGAACGAAATGCAGACACATTTCATACAGGTAAATAACCCAGTTTTGTTAAGTTACTGAATTATCTTTTCCTACTGCTTGTTAAATATTATTCTACACTTTCTTCACTCGATAGCTGAACTGAAATTGATATTTTCAGTCTTAACTAGATTTAAAACTGACAATATTTTAATGTTACATTTTTTAAAGCTCGTGAATTATATAAAAAAAGGAAACAGAGTTTTTCCGGAATGGCAAGATCATAGAAAAAAAAAAAAGATATTCTAAGATCTGACTAAAGTTGTGTAAAGATCGTGAATTATAAGTAAAGGAAACAGAGTTATGCTTTGCCGGAATGGCAACATCATAAGATCTTCTAAAGATCTTATATAAAAATTTATACTACTAGTAGTTTTTTTAAAGATTGAAGAATCATGTGTTTACATTTCTAAAGTCTAAATAAAATTTGTATAATATTAGCAAAGATGGCTTTTCTTTGATAAAAACCGAATTTTTACTTCATTGAAATAAAGTGCGAAAAGATGACGTTTCATCTCAGTATGAAATGAATAAAAGGGACAAGAATGCTTTACTCATTGAATAAATATCTTAATAATTTATGTCTGTACTCATTTTAATATCTCTGCACATATATTAGCAGTAGACGAAGACCACTTTCACCGCAGCGCAACAGAAAATAGAAATGGTTGCATTTATGCATGAAAGAAAAGCATTATTATACTTTGTTATTATGCACACTGGTGCCTTTAGTGGCTGGAATGTGTTAAACATTTTATTCATTCTTTTCTACTTAAGCCTCGGGAATAAAGAGCTACACAAGAAAAAAAAGAATTTCGTAAAAAACGAAAGTGCATCACTCCGCCGTTCATCTTAATCTTTTGCCCCCCTTTGTGCTTTACTTCTATATGTGAAAAATAATTCTCACTATTGTTTTCGAACAACGCTATATGATTTTACGTGGGACTATGAAATGATGAGATAATTACGTTCCTGTTTTTTTTAACAAAACGGGAACGTTTCAGGAACAGGAACATTACAAGAACATTTCTGTTCTTCTTTCCTGTTGTTTCTTCTTTCTGTTTCTTTACGTAAATGTAATGATTTAAAATAATTTGAATAGGATCTGCAATAAGTTACAAACACTATCGTTTTATTTAATAATGATCATTTAGTTTCAGAAGGCTATGTTCATGAGAAAGCACATGTGTGAATTGTGTAATGAGTTGTTTAAATAAAAATGTATGCTAGTAATCAAATTCCAAAAAAAAAAAAAATAAAAAATAAAAAAAACCCAGTAAAATTTGTTTATATAAAGTATTCATGACAAATAATCTAGCTACTCATTAATAGTTTTATCTTCTGCATTCAGTTATTTCGGGATAGAACTATGCTTAATTTTTAAACGAAGATTTTTTTTTTATTCATTATCTACCCAGAAGTCCTATTAGTCTCGAAAGGGTGTTTTGAGTCGAATCAACTAAAAATATCCAGTAGAACGGTGTTTAAACACCAGAGTGCCTAAGGTACATGGCTCTAACCCATGCAGAATATATTACAAAATTTTGAATTTTATTAAAAACTAACCTTAAGAAGCTTTAGAATTTTTTTAAGCGTTGAATCACTTTTCAAATTATTGCAACCAAATATTTCCGCCCTGCATTATACTTAAAGAAAGTAAATAATAAAGAATCTGCATGAATGTTTCTCGGGTTGTGAAAAAACAAGGATACCTAGAGC